TAGTTTTTTTTTTTTTCTCAAAAGCCACATAGCCATTTTAATATGCCTTTCTGTGCTTTTACTCTATGTTTGTGTGCTTGTCTGTCAGTTGGATGACACTATTGGCAATGCTAAAGTCAACATTGCAGTTTTGCTATTTGTTTGATACACATTTGATTTACTTTAGGTTTGTGGATTCATGTCTCTTCAGGAAAGAAGTTGAACAATGCTGTGAGTATTTATTCTACATGTGAGACAGAAGAACTGAATGGAGAACAGAAAGATCTTACTTGACTACATCCATCTAACTTGTATAATGTATTGTCTGATATGATATCGTCATGAGAAAATTAAAGAAAATCTTCCATTCACATCTTAAAGGGGGGAAGAAAAACTTTGAATGGTTGTGTTTTAAGAACAAAATGTATTGCATGTGTTATAAAAATGACTGAGGTTCTGGTGTTTAAACATGCCTGTAGACCTTTCTTGTAACTCAATAAAGCTAATATTTTGATGTATTAAATGCTTTTACGTGAGTTTAAAACATATCCAAACAAATCATATTTCTCTAGTTCTCTGTGACGACATTCATATCTTTATATCTAAATTGGCTCTTGCTAATGCCTACTTAGAAAATAAAGAAAAAACATATTTCTATTAAAGAAATCACAGAACACAAGCAGCTAATTTACTTTGTTTGATTCTGATATCATAGATTATAACACAATGTCTCAAGTTACCCTTAAGTCAACAATCAAATTTTGACAGATGTTTCTTAATCATTACTTAATATCAAGCTATTTCTATTAAATCTTAATTATATGTTGACACGTCTTTGAAATGTTGATAGAGTATTTCTAGATTTAGATAGATTGAGCCCTGAATCAAGGAAGTAAGCTTCAAAGAAAACTGACAGTTGGGAAAATGTAGCTTTTGTGCTTTATGCCATGAATCAGTTACATATTAAAGTAATTAAATTGGCAAGTCATGTGTTATTAGCCTGCAAGTCTCTGGCAATTATTTTCACATTACACAGATTTGAGAACATGTTTTGACCTTAATGGTCCGGGTTTTCTTGTTTGTTTGTTTTTTGTTTGTTTTTGTTTGTTTTGTTTCTTGTTTTTGATTTTTTTTGTTTCTTGTTTTTGTTTTGTCATGTTTTTGTTTGTTTTTTGTCTGTTTTTGTTTTGTTGTTTTTGTTTGTTTTGTTTCTTGGTTTTGTTTTGTTATGTTTTTTGTTTGTTTAGTTTTTTTTGTTTGTTTTGTTTTGTTTTGTTTCTTGTTTTTGTTTTATGTTTTTGTTTGTTTTGTTTCTTTGTTTTGTTTTGTTATGTTTTTGTTTGTTTTGTTTTTAATAGGGCTATCGGTGGCCGAGAAGTGCAAAGCAGATCACAATTCTGAAAACAAAATAACAAATTACAAACGCAAATGCAAGTCTAAAAAACAAAATAACAATTCAGAAAGCACAACAACAATTCAGAAAACATTATAACAAGTCAGAAAACACTATGACAAATTCGAATGTTATACGGGTGTCTATTTACATTTAGTTAAAAGTGACCGTAAAACATCAATTTCAGTGGTGCAGATGGATAAACGCTTGTCGTTGGCCTTTTGACGCGATCGACCCGGGTTCGATCCCACCTTTTGCCGAACTTTTTTTTCCTCCCTTTTCAAATCTAGGCACGCATTTATCCATCTGCACCACTTGAGCTGATGTTTACAGCTACTTTTAACTAAATGTATATAGACACCCCGTATTTTTTATTCCAGAGTAAGGGCAATTCATACAATACATTTAAACTGAGCTACTTTAATACCATCTCCGAACTTTCTACCACGACTCTGCTGTTCTTCGGCTGGTTCTTCCCTGTATACGTTGA